ATTGGCAAAATCGCAAGCCCAGGATGAGGAGTTGCAGCGGTTGTTGAATAGCGAATCTAGCCTGCAATTACGCAAAGTCTCGTTGCCTGGCACGTCTTCCGAAATTTTTTGCGATATTTCGACTAAGAATGTAAGACCTTATGTCACCCCTCCTTTCCGACGTGCAGTTTTTAATATGTTACATGTATTATCACATCCAGGTATTAACGCGACGATCAAGCTCATAACGCAACGTTATGTTTGGCCGTCGATTAAAAGAGATGTTCGCACGTGGACACGTTGCTGTATACCGTGCCAAAGATCAAAAATTTCCCGTCATGTGACTGCACCATTGGCTACATTTGTTAAACCTTCTGCGCGATTCGAACACATTCATTTAGACATAGTAATTTTACCGGTGTCCGAAGGTTTCAGGTATTGTCTGACCTGTGTAGACAGATATACGCGGTGGCCGGAAGCCTTCCCCATGGTCGATCAGGAGGCCCAAACCGTAGCTCGAACCTTTTATGACGGTTGGGTAGCGCGGTTTGGTGCTCCCGTACGGATTACCACCGATCAGGGTAGGCAGTTCGAATCCAAATTATTTTTTGCGCTGAACAATTTAATTGGATCCACACGCCTTCGCACAACGGCGTATCACCCAGCGGCCAATGGGATGGTAGAGCGTTTTCACCGACAGATCAAGTCGGCTATAAGGTGCCACGGATCCGACAAGTGGACAGAAATACTTCCGACGGTTCTACTCGGTATTCGTTCCGCCTGGAAAGAAGACCTCGGCGCTACCTCAGCGGAATTAGTTTATGGCGAGCCATTAAGATTACCGGGAGAGTTCTTGTCTTCGCATTCAGCGGAAGGCACAGAAAATGCTTCCGATTTTACTAATAGACTACGCAACCATTTTTCTAAATTGAGTCCCTCTAATGCATCACGCCATTCCGTTAATCGTACATTCGTTTTCAAAGATCTTAGCAGTTCAACACATGTTTTCATCCGAACAGATTCAGCCAAAACTATTTTACAACGCGCTTATGAAGGTCCATACGCCGTAGTGCGCCGAGGCGAAAAAACATTTACAATAAACATTAGAGGTAAGGAAATAAATATATCAATTGAAAGGCTAAAGCCTGCTTATATGCTAGCAGAAAACAGACCGGATCCCGTGAGCATAGAAAATCAGCCGGTCACACAAACAAACGTACCTGACAATGCGCCGGTTATACAGCAACGTGTTACGCGTTCAGGTAGACGCGTACGTTTTCCCGATCGATTTCAAATTACGCGGTAGTACTTAAGGCTTGCGCATTATTATAATAAGTATCATATACCATTTATTTTTTTCCATCACTTTTATGTACTTTCATGTATTTTTAGGTATTACGTATTATATATTAAACTCCATGTAAATTCCTTTTTTTTTCAACTCTGTTCAAATACTGTAATGTAAATCTTAGTTAGGATAACGTATTTTATATAATAGAGTAAATGGTAGTGGTAATGTAGTCGGTCAATTTTTCGTAATTGTGCCAATTACTGGCAGGGGGGTAGTGTGGCGGCCAAGGCACCACATACGCCTTAGCCGTTCGAAGCCGCTACAATGTATGGTTGCACACGAGACGATGGTTGCACACGAGACGACCAGAGCCGCGTGAGCCGAAAAGCCGTTGTCGTCGTCTCTGACCGTCTTTTGTTTTTGGAGGCCTCTTGGTACGGTGGCGATGATCGTACCAGAGAGTCGAGCGTAACCCGCACCACGAGTCACGTCGTTGTACGACAGCAACAATAAAATTGTGCGGAACGGAACAGAGCGGAGTCATTATCTTCCCGATCCCACAATATTAATCTAATTTCTAACTTTCATGGGTCACTACTCTTTTTAATTTTAAATAAGTACAGAATAAAACAATGCTCTGTTTTATTGTTGAAAAACACGTTTTTTCGGGTCTTCTCAAAAGTTTATTATTTATAAACTTAACCATAACATTTATTGCACAGTGTACCCTCGAAAAAGCTACGCAAAACTACCCATGGCTGGAAATGTAATGAATTTTGACCGCTGTCGTATCGATCGTAGTCTTCCGCGCGAGATAAAATATTCGATTTCGCATACGGCTTATTGAATTTGCGCAAACAAGCAAACGGAGAGCAGTTGCGACTGTTCCTAGCTGATCTCGGGAGCAGTTCAAATGCCGAGCACGTGCCTTTGTTACGAGATAATACCACTTCCGAATTTATACCTAAACTCCGCTTTGGAGCCTTGAAATTCGAGTTCCTAATTAACGGGCCGAACAAGACAAACCGCCAGCGAAATAAACAGCGGCGAACGCTGAAAGAACGTCGGCACGCAAATATCTAATAAGGTCTGAAAGAAAAAGGAAAACAGAACGTTCAACGATGTTCAATGCTTTTATTATAAATTATATTATTATACCCCTTATCTCTTTGTACTGCTCCTCAAATGAGAATATGTTCGTTCATAATTGTTATTTCAATAAAGACAACGTTATTTTACTCTGCCGCTACTGTCGGCTGATATCGCTATATTATTTCAATATAACGCAATATTATTTGAATAACGTTTAGAAACACGATCGGCAGATCTCACAGCCATTTCAAATATAAGTCATTCCGTATAATAAGATTTCACACAAACGCCATTCTGTTTCCATTATTCTGCCCTTTCGTCCACCTGACATTTACAAGGTAGAAAAAATAAACCAAACGGTCGTCGGAATTTTATCTACCTTTCGGAGTATTCACAGTCCCGACATCTTATGTCAACATACAGTTATTCCTTTCCGTTGCTCGAGGAACCACTATTTTTGTTCGGCCAAGAGATGGCTCGGAAACAGACAGGTGGACGAGCGATAAAACAATGGCACGCGGTGAACAATAACCCAGAAAAATATTGTCCAAATAGGTCTTTTTCAAGTATATTTATCATATAATATTTCTATTTTGACGAAATCGAGGGCATAAAGTGATCGATTTGGTGTGACTCCTGTGGCGTCGCCTCCCATGCTCGCCACCAGAGGGGTCGCGCTCTCACAAGCGCTCGACCAACCCCTCGGTGGCTATATGTATACACGTTCCTCGAACGACTTTCCCAATTTAAACGAGGTTTTTGAAACTTTTCTCTCGAGCCCCAACCCAAGGAAAACCACAATAACACATCCTCATAAACATTCCAGACACTAACAAACGTTTTAAGTGCAAGTTATAGGACTGCAGCGGAAACAGAAAAACGAGATTATGAAAAGACTTTCCCAATATCCCAGTCGTCTAAGACAGGGCCTGCTAGAAAGCCTCACTGATGAGTTTACTAGCAGACCCGGACGAAACGCGCCTCCTCCTTTACTTTTCTGTTCTCCTACGAATTTCCCGAGATCCTACTCGCAGCAAACGAGCGCCACAACTCTTATGAAATCTTCGGTGTCGGAGAAGTGATCCACAGGAAGAAGGCGCACGACGACGTCAGAAACACCCAGGGAAGAGTTGTTCATCTATCCAGCCGGTGACAAAGGCTCAAAGGACGGAATATTGAGATAGCCCATGGTAATTTGAATGCTGTTTGAAATAAAAGGTCACCGGGAACCGGGACAGAACGGATCCCCGCGGTATATATGACGTATGGTGGTTAATGGAAGCTAGCAGGACGGCGGCCTGGAAAAAGGAGGGAACGGGAAAGAGGCGAAACGAGAGTGGTTGGCTAGGAGGGATGGTGAAGGGACGGAAGAGAAGACTCGATTACACGTCACCGGCAGCCCGGAGCCTATTTGGTCGCAATCGGTTTTTCATTACCGAAAGCTTCATCGGCTTTATACCGAATTGTACATTCGGCGGACCCTCGTGAAACTCATCAAGATCGTACGTCCTTTCGGAACAGCGTTCCGCGACTTTTTGGTTACCGTTGCTGGCCGAGCCGCGCTATATAGCTATTGTTTGCTCGAATTTGTACTCGTAAAATATGAGATGCGTCAAAAATCATGACAAGGCCGGCCAACAGGACGATTCTTCGGAAACCAGTGTGAAACGGGGGGAATGAAATTCGTTTGTATTTACACAGTGGTTTTAAACGCAAAATGTGCATAGAGGAGGTATACCGAGCAAGGCGAACTAAGGCTGTTTTACAACCTATCAAATCCTAATTCTCGACCATTATGTAAGGCAGTATTATGTGGGACAGTGGTTTTTAAACTTCTTCGAAGACTTTGTGGCGCTGCTTTGCTGTGGGTACGATCCCCCGAAATTCTCGTAGGACAGAAAAGGACAGGAGTTCGTGGACTTCGTCAGTAAAGCTTTATAGCAGGCCCTACCTTAGACGACTGGGATATTAGGAAGTCCCCGAGGGAGACGCTCGGTCGAGCGCTTGTGAGAGCGCCACAACTCCTTAAAAGAGAATTTTGAGCACAAAATAAAGTAGCTTTCAAATAATACAAGTAGAATATGTTCCAACACTTGTTACATATGTGCTTATAAATATGTTCCCACATATGTTTCACATTGATGATCAATGCATCGATGTAAAGAACCGATTAAGTTAATCGCCCTTTCCTTGTATCACAAAATGCTCCCTTCTCCTCGTAGGTCGTAGGTTCCTTCAAAATAATTTCTATAAATCAAAAATACATACAATTTCAATGTAAACCAGTGATAAGTAGAAGTAACTTCGTATGAACAATTAAAGAAGTATGTACTTCCGGTCACCATTTTTGGTAAACTGGTCTACCACATACGTCTGTACAAGCTGTTTATCTAGAGGAAATCCGCGCACGTTAATCATTTTATTTTTTCATAAAACATAATACGCTATTTGATCCTTCGCCATAGTTTAAACAGCCTTTAATATTAAATAACAATTTAAAAGAGCATCGAAACTGTACAAATGGTGTCATCTTGGTATGCTACGTCCAATCCTCGCGAATGAAATGACTCTCGCTGGCTGAGAGAGATGGCGCTGTTATTACGTCAATGACTATGCATGCTTGCGTACAAATAATCAGCTGATTGGTTATTTTTACGAGCTCCAGACAGTACCAAAATAAATTGTTTGTGACATGAACTGTTCTGATATCGAAATAATATAAACCGTTAATTTTTGGACTGAGAAACGGAGTTATGGTATTTAGTTTGAGTAACGCGTCTGTCGTGTAGTATATCCACGAACATGTTACTAGGATATTGTGGTTAAGAATTGTGGAGAATGATGTGAATAACAAAAGATAATACTCTTTGAACAGAACAACAGATATATTGGGAACATGTCGTCCTCGCCGGAACATATTTCGTTGAAGCAGCCGATTAAACGATTAGATATCCAAATTAATAATTTTAATGTTGCTATACCGCATCATGTGGATTTGTTAAAAAGACACAAGATTAACATTCAAAATGTGAGTGCCGTTTAAGTGAAATCATTGATTCTGCACTAGGTGTTCATTTGAATATCCTTTGTCTTTGCAGTATCAAACAAAACATGATTGGGACAAAATGCATAAGGAACATGTAAATGTATCCAGAATAATAAAACAGCTAAAGGAGTTGCTGTATCAAATGGACACTCTGAGAACTCAAGTTCTTGATTCTGATATAAATCAATTTGACAAACTGACTGCCAATGCTAGAACAAGCATTTTAAATGCAATTAAAGATTACTTAGGTGAGAAACAATATTGACCCCTTAACGCTCATATTTTTCCAAGAATGATCAGTTTTCTGTTAATTACAATATTGTATCTAACATGAGCCTGTTAAGGGGTTAATTCCAGTAATTTCAAATTTACAAGTAATTTCAATTAAATGATAATAAAATTATACATACACATGTATAGAGATGGAGTTGCATTTGTCTGTGTCTCAGTCACAGTCACCCAAAAAGGAAGATCAGGCCACAAGTCACCCACTTGACAATAGATATATGCAGTTGCAGGAAGAAGAACAAGACTTGCAACGTCAACAGGCATGTCTGCATGCCTGGAACAATCTACAAGAAGATGTTCAACAGCTACAGGAGCTTTTCATTGAATTCAATAAGATTGTGGATGTATGTTGCTTAATCTATGTAGTTTATACTTTCAGTTGTGCAGGTATAGTTCTAAAATAATATTCCCTTAAAATAAACAGGACCAAAGAGAATTAGTGAATGCAGCAGAAAACAATATTGAAGTAACAAGTGTAAATGTAGAACATGGTGAAAAATTCCTTCAAAAAGCTGCAAGGTATAAAGTTGCTGCTTATCCCCTAACGGGAGCTTTAATTGGGACTTGCATCGGTGGGCCAATTGGTTTATTAGCAGGATTGAAAGTTGGTGGGGTTGCAGCAATAGGTTGTGGTATTTTAGGTATGTTCTATCATTTCCGTATAATATTATATTTCGTATTTACAATGGTTACAATCTTTGTAACATGCACAGGATTTACTGGAGCATCTTTATTAAAGAAAAAGGAATTAGAAACGCAAAAATTGAAAAGTATGTCACAGCAAAGTTTGACAGAACCCAAATCGATACAAAAATCAACATCTCTGCCTGAAAATTTAATGGAAAGCAAGAAAGATTTGTGACACATACAGAAATGTGATGTTGAAGTAACGAAGAAGAATACTACCTGTAATATTATTTAATGTCAAACGACCGATATTGATAAATTAACATATACTTTTACCGTTAAGGAATATCTTTCTTAATATTACAAATAAAATTAAAGAACATCACAAATTATTCTTGTTATAAGTACCCATGTTAAATTGTTTGAATTATACATATACAAATGTTACGAGGCAAGATATACTAAGCCACTATACAAAAGATTGCGAAATGTTCTTTCCAGGACCATGCCTTACTTTTAAGATCACTAAGGTCCTTGTTGGATACTCTTTTAAATCATGGAGAACATTAAATCTTTTTATCATAATTGTTCAGAGACATTGGCATATAGTCATGCACATTATTCAGAAACAATTATATTAATCAATCGAACGTGATAGATCGATTAAAACTAGGTTATTGCAAATGTTATGTTTGACAATTATATAGCGTTAGTTATATATTTCTATATACTTACGCTAGTGCGAAAACGATTTGTACTTCGCTTCTGTGCAGGGTTTGATGTAATGAAACACGCGCGTTACTTAATAAAATAGACTTTTGTAAGCTTCTTACGTGTTGACAGCCTAATATTACTTGTAAATAAAGTTTACGAATAAAACGATTGACATTACAAATAGACACAAAAAGTTACTAATAAACACTGCACTTCGTGCTGCACGTTTTGCAAAAATTCTGGACCAACTTTGGACACATCAATCGATTGACGTACGAGCACGTGCTTCGATCGATATATCGATACGATACATTGCGATTTCGAGTATCGCTAAGTACATGCATGCATCGTCCTTACGCGAGAAGAAAGCACAGCATGTTTATATCCCCACTGTTGCTGCAGTCCGCTGATTGGCTGTCATCGATCTTCGTTATTGTTTTCGACCAATACCTATCAGTTAACAGACAGCAACAGGAATGGGGATGTAAATACGCTGTGCCTTCTCGTAGAAGAATGGTACATTAGTCAAATACTGAAAACAACAAGCCGTGTTTACACTTCATTTACAATTTGTGATTGAAAGAGGAACGCAGGACGTCACGAGACAAATTAAAGGTTTGACTTCGCTACAAAAGGCACCCAATACAGTATATTTAGCAAGTAATAAAATACATCGGTGTTAGACACATTACAATACTGAAATAATCATGTTATCAATGTAAATATATATATATATGTATATATACATTTCGTTATAATGATGCGGATACTTAAGTCTACGGACTAAAATGATCTACTTAAAAAAATATTAATAAATATCTACGAGCGTGTAACATTAAGGGACTATCGGTTGTATCTTAAGGTACTGGTGTTATGTTGTTAGTATTCATCGTTAACTCAACATCCCCGATTCGAAAAGCAACACCAAACTCGGATCCAATTTCGAAAATAGAAATATCGTTTACTTTCTCGTTCGTTTAGTTTCGCTTTCGAGGACCCGGGATGCTCAGCCGGATGCACCGATTTTATGGCATGCGCTGTTTCAGTTTCGTTTCCGATCTACGTAAATTTCCGTCGAATCTATAACGAGGCTTCGTGTAATTTCGAAACGATCGCACTGTGCGACGATACAAACTAAATCACGATACGCAAAACGAAAGAACGATCGATAATACACGGAGGGGTGCATCGGACTGTACCGAGAAAAAATTCTTTGTAAAGATCTACGGGCTACAGCTACGGTTACTAAATACCTTGAAATTCTTTTCTCGTACCCCAGAATTACGAAACAAACGATTTTGGTCACTGTCCATATAAGGTATCACTGAAATACCTTGGCAGACCTTGGCAATAACAATGGCTAATCGACTGACTCGCTCGGAAGCAACATAACAATACAGAATTATTATGACAGTATAATTGCTGATTGTTACATGTATCCGTTCTGTTTATTCGGTCGCTAAGCACACCGAGTGTGACTATGATTTGAGACCCGTGCAGACGATCGCGAGTTCCTCGATCGACTCGCCGCGCGATTTGCAAACGCGGACGTCTATCGGGGGAATCCCGATCGAATCTGCGCGATCGGAAACCCTAAGTTCCTCGTGGAGAAAGAAAATTGACGCGAAACATGCGTGTGGAGCGTCTTGAGCCAAGCTTACCATTGCGCTTACCCTAAGCTTTTCCAAAACGTCCACACCGGTGTCAGAAAGAAAGAAATCCCTTAAACGTAGATGGGTCTAGCTTGAGAGAAAACAAAATGAAAACGAAGAGACTGAGAGGGTGTTGAATTTGGCTTTTGTGTACAGGCCAGAGTCAGGTTTACATCTACGGGTGATAAAAGGTTTTCACAAATGACTGACATAAAAAGAATATAATATTATATGTATATATATTTAATATATAATCTGGAAATAATATTTAGACTATCGGTTATATTACTTGTGGCTACATCGTATAAAGCTTTAATATTACATTATGTTACAAAGTGGTATCTTGTATGTGTGCGCATTGATTTTTGACATTCCTGAATGGACGCGTGGATTTCGTGGCCGAAAACGCATCCGGAGGCAACAGGACAGACGACGGTCGCCGACAGCTAATGGAATACCCGAAGAGAAGAGAAAAAACGGGAACCGACGGTCTTCGGGTGTTTCATTACAGCGGAACCGCGTGCGTTGCTCCGTGTACCGTCCTCGTGTACCATACGTAAGCGCGAACACAACGTGGAGATGGAATATCGATTCATTTATTAACTACACATATAAATAAAGTATAAAAGTACCGTTCAGACGAGTCATTGGGAATTGAAGAATATTCTCAGTCGCTGGTGTCAGGAATGCCAATGTTAATGAGAGAAAAAATGGCAACCGGGTGCACGCCGTTCGCGATCACTGCGGCTCGTTCCGTGGCATGCAACCGTACACATCTATATATATTATATATATCCCGTCGAAACGTATCTCTCTATCTATGATTCTCTTGAGCACGTTGGTGGATTCGGAGGAGACAGTATAAGAAAATACACGTTGCCGTTACTTCTGAAAATCAATGGTTTATAAAAATCCCAGTCGTGACGACTATGCGATCGCGCAGATCATGTGAAACACGAAGCGTATCAAAAGATAAATTCACTTGAAAGTTGAGCTTCTTCGGAACGACTGCCTCTAGTGTGTGTATGTGTGTGTGTGTGTAACCTTTCATACGAACGGTTAGCATTCGCGTTAAATGGTTTGAAACGGGCGGTAAGCGTGATGTCAGCGGGTCTATCGGACTATGTATAGCGTTTATACCTTCCCGTGGTATTCTCGTTACCACGATTGCCCAAGAAAATACGCGCTGTTAACGCGCTTCTGTACCCGGTACCACGCGTTGCATTCGCTGTGGGACAACTTGCAAGTGAATCGACAACATATATATATATATATACTCTGCTCTATATCGATGCCGACCTGTTCAGGGGCGGCGTTTATAAATTAATGGACATGTCTTGGTCGTAGGGTGCGAGATTAGTGTTAGACGAAGAAGCCGAGGTAACTGTTGCTGCGATCGCGCTGGTCGGTGACTGAAGAGGCGTGGACGTTGTCGGCAGATGGGACGTGGGACTCTCCAGCGTCGAGTTCCAGTGACTTCTCTCGGTGCCATCGCCCCCGTCGTCGGACACGATCGAAATATCAGCTATTATGCCGCTTTCTGCAATACAATCGTTCGAGGTGGCAAAACATAAGAGAGCTTTCGCGGGCAATGGATACGCGAAGGAAGGATGGAACGTACCGACGCTGCACTGACTGTTGAGAGTGGTGCTACGGTGATGGGGCCTGGGACTCATGTCCAAACCGAGGTTCAGAGTCGTGGGAGGGCCGCTACTGCCGCCGCTGCTCGACGACGAGCTCACGGATATTACGCTGTGCGGCCTCCGGCTGCAACGTCCCGAGTCCTCCGACATCGACACCGCTATCGAATTCCTAAATCTAGGCGCTGTTCAAACGAAGAACACTTGGATTAATATTTCGGTTCGCGCGCACTGCACGAACAATCGCCGATCCGTTGTACTTACTCTTCGATAGTTGAGCTACGCTGATAGAACGGTCATTGATCTGATCCGCGCTAGGCCTAATGTCCAAACAAGGTTTGTTTCCGATGCCCATGCTCGACATCTCTGCCAGGCGCACTTCTGTACCGTCACAAAAGGCATTCTCGTTAAAGTCCCGCCACAAAGGCCTCCAGAGGGACGCTATATTTCAAAACGCAAAGTCGGCTTTACCTCTGTTTCGCAGCGCCTGCTTCCATAAAAGGTTGCTCAGTTCCTCCGTCCATGCTTTCTTGATGTCCTCGCTGGCGCACTGCAACGTGTACGTGTCCCCCGGTTTCCTCTTGCGGAACCAAATCTCGAACTTCGTGGGCGAGTCCGCGATCACGGCAGTCAACCCGATGTCCGTCGTTTTGATGCTGTGCTTGTAGATGTAGATGTCGAGGTTCTGTAACGCAAGCGGGGACACGCGTTGGTCACGCAAACGGAACACGGAAAAACAAACGAGCGAGTACTAGCAAAGGCGGTCGACTCACCTTTCTATCGGGGAATCTTCTCGCCTTGCTGAAGAGGATAAGGTCCTCGAACAGGAAGACCTGTCGCAGGCACTTCTTGCCCTTGCCCTGCCAGACCAAGAACTCGTTCTGACGGAGCAGTCTGCCCTGTTCCTTCACGTTCACCTGCAATTTACATCCCCTTTACAGTCTGCGACGACGCAATACTATGGCAAAAAACGCATTACATACACTCTCCATCGCCATTGATGACGCGACTGTTTCTTCTACTACATCATTATTTGTTAGTTAGTACATTATCGATCCCGTGACTTATGCATGGGGGTTTAGCGTTCTATCTTTCTCGGTTCAAAGGTAAAATGTAGAACACGTACGTCGCAATCACGAAGTGAATCCATCGCCAGCAGGTCGTTTCCGTGGCGCAGTTGGAACCTCACCATCTGCTCGGCCGCCCTCAAATCCGCCTCCCCTTCGACCATCGGTTTCATACCGTCCTCCTTCTCGTCCTTCTCCTCTTTGCCGGTCATTTGGTCCGACAGATCGGTGCCAGCTTTGACCAGCTGCTGCAGGAGCAACGCGTATTTCCCCATCCGTTGAACCGGCTTCAGCAGGTAGCTGGCGAGGTCCATTTTGTCGCCAAGCTCCAGCTGCTTCTGCTTGAAGAAGACGGTACCGTATTCGGCCATCAGGGAGTCCGAGTTTGGCTTATTCTTGTTGTACAACGCGTACAGATAAAATTTTTTCTCCTGCAACACACGTGTGTGTAATGAAAATTTCAGTCTTCGCTCGCGGCCAATTTATTTTGCCACTTCTCAAACAAACACGAACAACACCCGCTAAACGTTCCTTATCTACGCGTTTACGCATCGATCGTCGGTTTTATTTTTTCAAGAACGTGCAAAGAATCGAGTGTATTCGATTGGAAGAGAACTGTAAATGCAAGAGGCTGTCCGAACGTAACATCGACGCGTATTGCCGGTTCTTGTCGAGAGTCAACTTTTATTTATGTCGATTGATTTATCTGCATCGAGTATTTATAGAGTTCTATGATAGTTGGAAGAATGCTGAACGCTTCTTATCGAAGGACTTGTTGATCGGAGAGAGAGAATCGAAGACTCGATTTACGGGAATATTTCTGAGGAGATATTCATGCAACCATGCGTACCGTTATCAAGGACATTAACTAACGACACACGTTAAACTTGGAGTTCAAGTGCGTTCGTGATTTAATTGTAAATATTGGGATTAGGAATGGAGCAAGTTGTGTCTATTACGATATTTTAGAAAATATTGAGCATTTTGGACACTTAATGTAAATACATACGTCTTACTATATCGTTGGGAATCTCTTTCTGTGCCAATTACGAAAACAGATCTTGCATTTCTTCGCGTTTTCATTGTTCTATCGCCTTTTCCGCGCAGTAACTTTTCCAGCAAGAGGTGATTCAACAACGATGACGAAATTAAGCGTGGGTATGTAGTTTTTTGTATCAGAAGTAGTAGAGTATTGCAGGATATAATTTTTTTTTATTAGTTAATAAACTAAAGTTTTGAGATGCCCAATATTTTCTGGGATATTCTAGCAGCACATAGTCGAGTGTCTTGAGAAAAGTTTTCTTAAGTATCCTTTGCGGTGTTATCTTCTTTAGAGACGACTTTAGTTTAGGTAATAAAAGACAACCCGATGGAATCTAACTAATAGGGCGGATGTTCTTTTTCTAGTTTAGAAAAGCCTGAACAATCTCAACGATATGATATGATTTCTCAAAGCGTAGGTTATATTATGCAATTTATTACAAAATATCGTCTTGTAACAAGCTCGTCGAGAGTTGTAATACCGTTCAACGAACTTAACGCACACGATACAGAAAGAAAGACCAACGAGGGATCGAAGGGAGCTACCAGAGCGTTAAGAACGTATGAAAAGAAGTAGGACCAAAAGGGACTAGAATGCAATTAAGAACCCCCCCAGGAAAGTAACTCACGTGTCTGAGGAAGCATTGTCCCACGTTCATCGGCGACTGCTCGCACTGTTCCAGTTCCCGCAGGAAGTGTTGACTATGAAACTCGTAAATCTTCTCGACGTTGCCGAAGATCACGTTGCGCTGTCCTCTGAGGGCCTGAGGAATGTCCTCCCGCACCAGCTCCGGGATGTAGTTCTTTCGACGGGAAAACGAGACACCGTTAAATCCGTTGCCGGTTGATCGCGAATTTTCAACGAATACGAAAGGGAACAGTTACCTCTATTATGTACTCGAGGGACTTCACGTAGTCTCGTTCAGTCTGTATCATTTCCCTCATTATGAGCAGTATTGTTCTGCAAGGTGAAATTCCTCGTTAACGACGCCGCGTTGCCGCGGTACACGTAACGATTCCGTATAACAGCGCGATGGAATTATTATAGATAAACATTGTGCATTGTTCGCGCGAGCCGGGTGCGACGGAACACGGAAGAGGACGTCGCGTACGAAAACGCAACGCGAAATCCAGTCGTTCTCCCACGTCGCGCGGGGGTGGGGACTTCGACGTGGAAACTTTAATGAGAATATTAATCAGACTTGCAACGGTAATTACGCGCGGCGACCATCGTTAATTGCGTGGTCTGGCCGACGAGGGAAAGACGAACGAACGCGAATGGAGATCCCTGAAAGCGAGTCGTACGCACTTTTTCGCCTTCATGCCGGGCGCTATGCTCGCCGCTCTGTGCAGATGCGAATTCACCGGCGGTTTCACCAGCCGTCGCGGCGCCGGGCTTCGGGGCGGCGTCCGCGGAGGAGAACAATCCAGGAGCTGCTCGGCGCTCTCCCGGAGCTCCGCGATGTTGTCCAGCACCGGTCGTCCGCCGCTTCCGGCGGATCCTATGCTCTCCATGGGGCAGGCGTAAGACGCGCTACTATCGCTATCGTCCCACGAAGTTCCTGAAGAATCATACAACAACTTGCAATTACGTAACTATTATTCTACGAATATTACAATATTAGTGTAATTTCTTTCATGGTGTCACCGGGTCAGAACTGGACTGTGACACAATTACAGGAGGGAGTCTAGATTTCGCGTTATTTGTTTTAATATGTTAACTGTCGGACCAAACCTCTCGAATTGTCAGTGGGTCAGAACTGAACTGTGACATAATCGGAGGAGAGATTCTAGACTTCGCGTTATTTGTTTTAATATGTTGACTGTCGGACCAAACCTCTCGAATTGTCAGTGGGTCAGAACTGAACTGTGACATAATCAAAGGAGAGAGTCTAGATTTCGCGTTATTTGTTTTAATATGTTGACTGTCAGACCAAATCTTTCGAATTGTCCACAAAAATCAAAAGTTTGTTTTGTAGATAGTTGGAAACTAGCATACCCATAATTTGTCGTAGAATTTATTTTCTGTAACATCTAATGTTCATACTAGCAATGAGAGTAAAAACGATGAGGACGACTATGAGCGATGTAGACGAATCGAATACAGTTATTGCTCGATAGTCGAATGGGTGTGTTTCATGCATATTTGATGACAAGATTATTGATTCTTAGTATAGAACATGTTTATTAATTACCTAAGAGTGTTTGTGATATTTGTGAATATTCTTGGCGGAACGGTGTGATAAATGTCAATATGGTAAAGAAACAGAGTAGAAGAAATACGGGAGATAACTATTCCTTTCTTATTGATTATTATTCCTTGCCTATTGATATGTAGGAGCAAATAAGAGACTAGAGAATGATTTATTCAATCGATGTCTTGGCCTTCTTCTTTGGAGCTGTCTTCGGGTATGAAATGAATTATGGATGAATAATTACGGAATCAAACCCGAGACACGGAAGCACAAAAACTTGTTCAGAAAGTAAAAAGTGAGAAAACTGCCGTGGTATCCTAATTTAAGTGGTCATTATGCGGCAGAGGATTAAATATAAATATACTTCAAACGTTTCAACCTTGTATTACTTGGGTATTATTATACAAGGTGTTCGGCCACCCCTGGGAATTTTAATGGGAGATTCTAGAGGCCAAAATAAGACGAAAATCAAGAATATCAATATCTCGACTGAATCTTCATTAAAAAGTTATTAAAAAATTTCAAATCATTCTGAAAAAATTATTTTTGGTTGCGGGGCTCAATTACGATCATTTTTTGTGAATACACATACCCCTGAAATTCTACTCCCTTTCGAGAAAAAAATTTGAGTAGGTGCCTAAATTTTTTGGCGAAAAAAAAATTTTAAATCGTTTTGGAAAAATTATTTTCGGTTGCGAGGATCAATTACAATCATTTTTGGTCATTAGACCTACCCTCGAGATTCTACCCACTTTCGAGATAAAAATTCGAGAAGGTATGAAATTTTTCGACAAAATTAAAAAGTTTCAAATCGTTCTGGAAAAATTATTTTCGGTTGTGTGGGTCAATTACAATAATTTTTGGTGAATACACATACCCCTGAAATTCTACTCACTTTCGAGATAAAAATTCGAGAAGGTATGAAATTTTTCGACAAAATTAAAAAGTTTCAAATCGTTCTGGAAAAATTATTTTCGGTTGCGTGGATCAATTACAATAATTTTTGGTGAATAGACTTACCCCCAAAATCCTACCCACTTTCTAGAAAAAAATTCAGAACGGGCGGAACTTTAAACGTTAATAACTTTTTAACGAAGCCTCCATCAACAAATTAGTATTCTTGATTTCCGTCTTATTTTGGCCTCTAGAATCTCCCATTAAAATTTTTCCCAGGGTTGGTCGAACATCTTGCATATTAATATTTGATCTTTACTGTTTCACTGATGAGGAACAAAATGTTTATATAAAACTGAACTTGTCTTGTATTGAATTTCCAATTCATAAGCAATTTATTATCTTGCTATGATAATTATTCAGTATTAAGATCCGTGACAGATTCTTTCTCACGCGAAGAAAAGTACTGTGAACTTAAATAGATGAAGAACAACTGTAGTCTATTAACATTCACTGCAGCAACTGGGAACGCTAGTTGCGTTGATAAAGCTATAAAATATAATCGATTGATGCATAATGGTAAAATTCTGTTTTTAATCACGGAGAAGTTGGAAAGAAAAGTCGAGATAGTTATCTAGGGCAAATGATTAAAAATAAGTAGTAAGCGTTGATAAGATAGACTTACTCTTGGCCAGAGTGTCCTCCCAGGATGTGGTAGACTCCGAGGCGGCGAAGGATCTCCTCCTGGCCGGACTGCCGGGTGCGGAAGTCGTCCTCGCCATCTCGAGGGCTTCCGCGCACTTGTTCCTGGCGATGCGGCATTGTTCCAGGAGGATCTCGTTACCGAGCTTCTCGGCGAGCGCCATCATTTCCGTGAAATGCTCGGCCGGTAGGGGTGGTCTGGCCATCAGGAACTGCTGGGCCCTCCTTTCGCCCGCGAGACGAGCCTCCTGGGCCCACTCGTACGCACGGTCCTGAAGCAGACAACATCTCGACGTGTCCTCGAGGTACTCGCGCCTGTCCTCCAGGCGGGAACCGAATCCTCGGAGGTGCTGTTTCAAGGATCTCGCTAATTCCCGAAGTCCACTGGCGCTCGCCGCCTCGGCAAGGTCGCTTCCTTTGTCAAGATGTCTCTGTAACAGAAAATTAACATAACGTTCTTTCAGTAGCTCTCGATTGGTAATTAACTACTACGGAGATACAACTTTGGTACTCTAATTTTATGATCTCCAATCCTGTTAGTACACACAAACTCCACACTTTATCTGACAGTTAGATTGTACCTTTCTTAAGATTTCTATTTGATTTATTTAAATGCTTTGTCTTCCTTATGATACTTTAATTTATTTCGGTACCTCACATACTTTAAGCTGGAGAAGACAGCAGAAAGCATGGTATAAACCTCCATAAACCTTTCCCATTCTTACTTGAAACTTGATCCGCAAAAAATGCTATTTTATTCTATTCTGCCCACCAATAAAATTGTGCACCACAGTTTCACAGATTACCTTACACACGACCCCACACTTAACTCATATAGGTTGTCGAAAAATAAACAGATAGATCTAAAAACGATCCTCGAGAAAACCCCAAGAACCCTTGACGTCTACGTATGTATATATGTACACGAGTTTTCAAATACAGATTTATAAACACACCTGGATGACCAGTCGCGTAACTCACATTTTCCGAAATAACCAATACTAGAGAAGATAACTCCTCATCTAAGGTAAACAGGATTAACGAAACGTTAAGCTCGTAAATTATCTTCCCGGGCGTCTCCCCTGGACAGTGTTTGCTCAGATTTACCATGAATGCGATATTGTGTGTAAACACACACGGAACTAAATCGTAGGTCGGGTCGCGACAAAAGAGAACAATAAACGCCCTCCTTCCTGGTCGGTAGAAACGATATCCTGTTGTCTCCGAATCGAACTGGAACTCCCGCGGTGCAGCACGGAACCGTCCCTAATGGAGGGACCATAAATCGACATATGGGGAAAGAGGAACGCAGAGACGAGACAGGGGGCTGTGTGGTCTCTGCTATGGGACATTGTCTATTTGTGCACGGAGGCGAGCAAGGGACTATTTTCACAAAACCCACTTCGTGTGCAGGGCGAACTTAGCCACTTCCTTCAGCTCGAGTCAAGGTTTAACACTAAACCTACCACGATCGGTCAAATGACTGTTTTTAAAATTGCATTTAGAATTATTAACATGGAATGTTATTTTAGCGCCATTTAACTTCACGACTTTTCTTATAATATACGTAGAATGAATTTTCGCGCGCGAGTTCATTGACCTCAATGAACGTAAACAAACGCTTCGACTTGAAACTAAAATCGCTATATCTCCGGAACTAATTACGCTATCGACTTGTTCGAACGCTCGTTTTAAAGGGCATTTCATCCTCCATCCAATGACTATACCAGCTACTATAATGTTTGCTATTTTCTATGTTTATTTTGAAATTTACTTTGACGCTATATAGTTAAAGAAGTTTCAATAATTCCTATTGATTATACGACTGATATAGAGTGATACTGGATTATACATTGTTTATTTAACACATATATGCGATAAATAATAGCACATTTTATTAAATTATATTCTATCATAAACTTTTAAGAAAATCGTTTCATATTAAATATAAAATATAAAATTTCCAATTATTATTTAGATACTAAGTGCCAGGGGAATATTCTATTATCTGAAAATTGTTTCCATCGAACTCTCTTGATTCGAATATGGAAGCCACACCGTGAAATATAATATTCACTGTACAAGTCAACCGAGAGAAATCGCGTAGTTTAACAAATTCTAAATGTCTCGGAAGCTAATAGATTTTTTCATTTAAACACCGGTGGAGGGACGGAATCGGCGGTTCAATATTCAATATATCTCGCACGGATGACTAGGCAGCCCTTTCCACGAGAGCAATGTGTACCAGCGATCATGGGAGCGTGAAATCCCGTTGGACATGGATCGGTAACATCCTGGAGCAAGGACGATCCCGATTGAGTACCCGTGACGAAAGTGCATCACGTCCCACGGTGCACGAGCCTGATTGTCCGGGCCCTCTTATAAACGGGGATATATAGATCGCACAACTGTTCAGGTTGTAGAACAAATTTACGCCTGTAATCGCGTCGACCGAGTATGTTTCTTCCATCCCGATGGGGCGCGTTACGAGCATGAAACCGTCCATAAATCGACACGCGCCGGCGATCTCTTGAATTTCGCGCGCGTCTTGCAAAATGAGAAATCCAAATCGCGATAAAAGCGTTTGAGATTCTTTATAATATTAATTAGGATTTCGTTTAATAGTCATTCTCTTCGCGTAAATATTCAACATTCTATGCATAATCCACGTTTATATTTTTAGAGTTTGATTGCATAGTATCTTTAAAAAAAACTATCAATATCAAAATTTCTCTTATCTATACTCAAAACTTGACTCGAGAAGTCGAATCATATTTTGACTATCAGTCTGTCGATATAAACATTTTTGAAAATTATCTGAGTTTCCCTTATAATTGAAACTCGAGGAATCGAATCGTAAAGACGAAGGCTAATTAATCAGAGTAGATGGGTGTTCCATTCGCTGTACTGATACATCAATTTTTCTGTTTCAGGTTTCATGATCGACCGAGGCCATCGTTGCAGGATCTCCAGCATAGGGGAAGAACGTCTCGTCTATTTTCTGTGTTTGTTCTCTCTCTTCGGACACGTGGCCAGGATCCCTTTAGGGCCCCGAGCCATCGGAAGCACTTTTCTCTGCTCTTGGAATGGAGTACGCGGATCACAACCGTGACACGTGCAGCATTATACTGTTTGCGCCGTTAACGACCTGCCGTGGACACCATTGATCTAAGTTTGCCCAACGGTTAACGAACAGCGTTAACGATCGTTGCAATTATTGCGGGAACGTTGCCGCAAGACCGTTATCGCGGCTCTTTTATTGAATTTCATTTATGCAAGGAGAATGCATAATTCAGCTACGCGTTTGCAAAATTACGAAGATTCCAACTTTCATGGCCCGTGAACAAATATTATCCGAATACTTGTACGAACCTCGGTAAAAGTCTTCAATATTCAGCTTCAATAACAACTGAAGATTTATCGAATCGAACTCCGCAATATTTAAATTAGAATATTCTTAAAGCAAAGGTAAGTTCATAAACATTATCTTATTTTAAGATTCTCAGGCAACCAAGTTGTAAACGAGCATGAACTCGACTAATTTCATCGTCGGTCACGAGCGAGTTTATTTCAAGAATTTCATAATTACACACTTTGGCCGGGGTTTGCATCGTCTGAACTTGCGAGCAACGAACATAATCCGCGATTCGCCGTGACGACACGGTCGCTGATCAAAATTAATGCACCTGGGAGGCTGAGGCGCGTAACCGGGACGCTTGACGAAGCTTCAATTAGGATATTGAAGTTCGCCGTCGAAACGAATCGATTCGCGTTGCGTCCGCCCGTCTGATTATGAATGGTTAGCACGATGGGTGAAATATTGCCAGGGGAGACTGGCAAAGTCTCTTCCTCGTTCCCTGTCGCGTTTAATCAGCGAAATCATTTGGTTTCAGGGCGCGGATCCCTCGCGGGCCTAGCGATCCTCTCCGCCAGGGGTTGGAGGACCTTTTGGCGTTGGACGTCCGCGTGTCACTTTGCGGATTCTTTAGAAAACTCATCAGGTACAATAAATTTCGTCAAAATTAGTAACCCTTGACGGTCTAAAGGCAGTTCAAACTTACAGCTATTTAAGTAAACTAACTCCAAGTCACTTATTTTTCCAGGTAATAATCTATGAACCAAACAAACTGTCCTACACGACAATCATATCCTTTAAATATCCTGGTTTAAAGGTAAGAATTTTTTAATGAATTAATAATCGTCGAATACTTTTCATATTCTTTCAATCGGTAAAAGCCACGTTCAAGTGACTACTAAACTTTATGACCCTCTAGAAACCCCTTAACGCCCCCTCTGACAACCCACAGATTGAGAGCCAGTGTTTGAAAGCATTTCTCAGATACAGTCGGTAATTAGAGAAAAGGATTCCTCGAATCGATTCTGACTATTCTCGTTCAATGGAACATTCCTAATTCTTGTTGCCAATTAAGGTCACGTCTGCAAGGGTGATTATCGAGTTCGAGCTCGAGTGGAAACTCGCCCGCATCTTGACGAAAGTCTCCGCGAACGAAACGGCCCGCATCCACTTGCAAAAGCGCACGAACTGCACCGCGATGGGCACTCCTATCGCGTCCTTGTTACAGAAATCATTTAGGCCTAGAAACGCCGCGAAAGTATGCGAGCGAATACCTCATTTCGCCGGGTTTCCATATTTATAAGCGCGTTGCAGCAGCACGCCGTCATGGCTCGTTCGCGACCACGTTTAATTAATTTACTGGAAACACGATAACCTCGTGGTCGAATTTTCTACGTTGCGAATGATTTTTAACTTTATTAGGATTTTAAAGAATTTCTACATTCAATGAATCTGTCCAGTTTGGAGCCTTAAAACTTTGATAACCCTTTCTTGAACACTTATACGTGTTCGTAAAATTTATTTTATTTTTATAACTTAGGCTCCCGAAGAGTCATCTTTTATTAGATACTAACAAGTTAAATCATTTTTCTAAACAATTTCTAGTTAGTTGGTGGTTGCAAATTCTCAACGAAGCTATGAAAAGAGACGTCGGTGATGACATCAAAGGTTTTGAGTAGTCAAAAGCGTTGAATCCGTGGAGCTTTGTTTTCTTTTATTGAAGCTCAAAATGAAGTTCACGACTAACAGCAAGATGAGTTTGTTTTACTAGTTACATTTGAAACATGTCCGAGCTACACTTAACAGGTAGACCAGAGTTAGATCTGGGATAAAGTTCTGATGGGTATAGTAATTGATTGTCTGGAATAAGCCAGGCATAAATTTGACATGGTTGTAGTTTAGATCTAGGTTAGACGTGTTGGATAAACTTCAGTTAGATCTAAGTGGTATCTGACAGATATGACTTTAAGCTAGAATACATATTTAAATTGCATGAATTTTAAAAACTGTAAGCTACCGTATCAGTTAGATCTGCAATAAGTTTGATGCAAGCCACACGAATCTTGGAGTAAAAGT